AGTTCTTTTAAAGAATGGGTCTTATGTGAATGTTAGAGTTCTTGTGCCTTAGTTTCTTAGATGTTGTGCTATATGTAAAACTTTTGGACATCTTGCTAACTCTTGTACGGAGGCTAGGCAACCTCCTCAGAAACCTAAAGTGTTACAAGTTTGGAGGAGGAAAGACAGTAGTACTGTTGATTCTGCAAATATTGTTGCTTTGACTGTAATTCATGTTGTTGCTTCGGGGACTTCTGTGGTTACTAATACATCTAAGATGTCTAGCTCAGATTTTTCTTCTGGTAGGGCTAATAATTCCAAAGTATTGGGGATCAATATTGAGCTACAGGTTGGCAAAGCTATGGAAACTACAGTACTGGCATTGCAGGAGGTTTATGAATCTAATTTGGAGGCTATTAGGGAGAATGACAGTGTAGGTACTGGTGATTTGTCCTCTTTTGAGTCTCTGAAGTTGACGGGCTCTGGTGTGATTGGGTTGACTCATGGTGATGAGGGCAAGGGTGCTGATCAACACCCGCTGGGAGCTATCCATTCTGGAGAGTTCCCTTCTCTTCAGGACTCTCTTAAGAAGAAAGGGAAGGAAAAAGGAAAATTTTGGCTCCTCAAGTAAAATAGAGGCTGTAGTTGATATTCCTAGGAAAGCTCGTGAAGTTCGTGCTGCCTCTATGGGTGTGGCTGTTCTCCTCAATGAAATAAAAACTAAAAAGAAAGATCATCTCGAGAAGGCTAAGAGTTCTGTGGCTAATTTGGGCATTGTCAACTGTGCCCAACAGATCCCAACTTAATGATTGTTAGTTTCTGGAATATAAGGGGGATTAACAACCCTCTTAAGTAGTTAAAGGTGTTAAAGAGGTTAGAATCTTATAGTGTTGATGTTTTTTGTTTAATGGAATCGCGAATTAGGAGTATTAATTATGCTAGTTTCACTGCTACTCTGTTTAGTGATTGGAATTTTGTGGAGAACTACAACTTTGTTGTGGGCGGCAGATTGTGGATCTTTTGGAGGAAGCATTTGTCTTTCTCTACTCTGAGGTGTTGTGATCAAGCTATTTCCATTATTGGGTCTGTTAATGGCCATAACACAACTATCTCTGTTGTTTATGGCAGTAACTATGGTGTTTCAAGAATGGCCCTCTGGGATCATTTATATAGTGTTGGTAATGTTATTGGTTCTTCTTCTTGGCTGGTTGGGGGTGATTTCAACATTATATCCAAAGCTGAGGAGAGCTCTAATTTTGAATTCATGGGAGTCCATTGTACTCCTGATATGAAGGAGTTCCAAGATTGTTTAGAGGGGCTTGACCTTATAGACCATCCTTTTCTTGGGCCTCTTTTCACTTGGTCAAACAAACAAGAGAATGCCTTCTTAGCCCGTAAATTGGATAGAATTTTGATTAATGATCAATGGCTTCTGGATTTTCCAGAATCTTTTGTGGAATTCAAGGCCCAGTGTCTCCGATCATTGTCTCGGAATTCTATGGACCCATAAGGGAGCCTTAGCCAAGAAACCATGTCCTTTCAAATTTTTTAATTGCTGGATTGGGCATGATCAATTTTTAAATACGGTCAGGGCTTCTTGGCAGAATCACTGTAATGGATCCGCCATGAGTTGTTTGTTTAACAAGATGAAAAGGCTCAAACCTCTTCTCAAGGGGTTCAATCTGGAATATTTCTCTGATATTTCTGGTAGGGTCAAAGCCAAGAGAGTTGAGCTGGAGCGTATGCAGATTCATAATCTTACCCTTACGAATCAGAGAAGTCTTGAGGAAGAAAGGAGAATTCATGCTGATTTAGTTGACTTGGAGATTGCTGAATCTGATCTTTTCAGACAGAATGCCAAAGTACATTGGTTGAAGGAAGGAGATTTAAACACTAAGTTCTTTCACCAGAGAGTCCAATCTAACAAGAAAAAGAATACGATCAGAATTATTAAAGATGAGGTTGGGCGAAGTTTTGATTCTTTTGAGGGAATGACAGCTGAGTTAGTGGATTATTTCACTAATCTCATAGGCACTCCTGATCCATTAGTAAAAGGTTGTTCTGTTGATAACTTGAAAAATCTACTGAACTATTCTCTCCCTGTGGATGCTGTTACTTGCCTTATTAAGGAGGTGAGTGATGATGAGATTAAGAAGGCCCTGTTTAGGCAAGGGAAAGACAAAAGCCCAGGCCCTGATGGGTTCACCTCTGGTTTCTTCAAAGCTGCCTGGGATATTGTAGGTAGTGATTTCATTGCTGCTATAAGGTACTTCTTCCAAACTTATTGTTTGCTGCCTGCTTTTAATGCTACCGCCTTAGTTCTTGCCCCCAAATCCTTAAATGCATGTTTGGCTAAGGATTTTAGACCTATTTCTTGCTGTTCAGTGGTCTACAAAACTATCACTAGAATTCTTGTTAATAAGCTCACTCCTTATTTCTCTGGCATGATTTCTCATAATCAGTCTGCCTTTGTCAAAGGAAGGAATATTGTTGATAACACCCTTTTAGCTCAAGAGGTAGTGAAAGGTTACTCTAGGAAGAGTCTTTCTCCTAGATGTGCAATCAAGATTGACTTGTAGAAGGCTTTTGACTCTGTTAATTAGGGGTGTGCAAATCCGGGTACCTGGAACTTCCGGGTCGACGATTTCTCGGCCCGTGTCCCGACCCGGATGTTACGGGTACCCGGTAATCGGGTACCCGATACCCGGTTTTTAATTTTTTATTTTCAAATTATAAATTTTAAAAAATATATACACAAATTTAAATGTTCGAAACTTCGAATTACATACTCTAATATCAGAACATAAAATTTAAAAGTTCAAAATACAAAATATAATAATCCATAATATAAATAATTCATTATATTTTATATAATTATATATAAAAAAATAAAAGAAATAAAAACTAACCGGGTACTCGGGTAACCGGGTAACCGGAAAAACTAGATTTTGTGACCCGGGCCCGACCCGGCCGGGTAATTTTTTTTAGAAAATTACCCGGTTTTTTTAGGTCGGCGGGTCTGGTCAATCGGGTCGGGTAATTTTGCACACCCCTACTGTTAATTGGTCTTTCTTTCTTTCTGTTCTTGAGGCCATGGGGTTACCTTTTGTGTTTTGTAATTGGATCAAAGTCTGCATTATTACCCCTATGTTCTCGGTTTGTTTAAATGGTAACTTGGTGGGTTTTTTTAAGGGAGCAAGGGGAATTAGATAGGGGGACCCTTTATCCCTTATCTTTTTGTTATTGTGATGAATGTTCTTTCCTCTCTCTTGAATGCTGCTGCCAAACAAAGAATCTTCAGGTTTCATCCAAAATGTAAGAGACTCTAACTTACTCATCTTTTCTTTGCGGATGACTTGTTAGTGTTCTGTCATGGCTCCCTAGAATCTGTTTTGGGTGTTCTGAGCATTTTGGAGGAATTTTATGCTTTATCTGGTCTTAAGTTGAATGCAATGAAGACTGAGCTTTATGCTTGTGGCTTGAATGTTAGTGCTCTTAATCAGATTCACTCAGCTACTGGATTTAGGGTGGCGTATCTTCCAGTTCGATATCTCGGGGTTCCCTTGGTTACTCGTAAGCTCTCTAGCAAGGATTGTGTTGCTCTTTTGGAGAGAATAAAAGGAAAGCTTAGTCAATGGTCCTCTAAGATGCTTAGCTTTGGTGGAAGACTGCAACTTGTTAAGTCTGTCCTCTTTAGTATCTTTAACTATTGGAGCAGGCAGCTCGTTCTCCCTAAGGGGACCATTAAGGACATTGAGAGAATTTGCATGCGCTTTTTCTGGAAAGGTTGTGACTCCCCTGCTAGAAGAGCGCGTGTGGGATGGAGTCAGATATGTTCTCTGAAATCAGAGGGTGGTCTGGGACTTAGGGACCTTTCCCTTTGGAATAAAACCTGCTGCTTATTAAGAATATTCTGGCTAACAATGGCTCTCTTTGGATTGCATGGTTGGGTGAGTACTGTTTTAAAAATGTGAATTTCTGGGATGTTGATTGTAAAAGCCATTTCAGCTGGATTGTGAGGAAGCTGTTGAGGTTAAGAGATGAGGCAAGGAGGTTGTTTACTCCTGGTAATCCCTGGTGCAACATTACATGCAGCTGGATTTGGGACAACATCAGAGTTCGCGGAGAGAAGATTAATTGGCACATAATTGTTTGGTTCCCTGGTCATATCCCCAAGTTCTCCCTTATATCGTGGATGGTATTTCTTAACAGGCTACCTACTAAGGTTAGGTTGGCCAGGTTTGGTTTGATTACGGATACTGACTGTGTTTTGTGTGGTTCGGATCTAGAATCTCGTGACCATCTCTTTACAGGTTGTTTCTTTGCCAAGGAAGTCTGGAGGACTATTTTAGCTTCATGTGGAATTCGTCATGATGTGCAAAGCTGGGATGACTGCCTCAGTTGGTTGGTTGTTAACCTGAAAGGTAAATCTCTCAGAGTGCAAATTCTCAAGCTGGCTTGGACTGGTTTCTTATACTATATTTGGAAAGAGCGTAACTATAGATGTTTTAGAGGTCATGCTTGTTCGGTTGACACGGTTGTATATAGAATTAAAGAGGCTGTAAAAATCAAGCTGTATAGGAATTGTATACATAAGATTGATGAGGCCAATAGGTTTTTGTTTACTAATTGGGGTTTGATCTAGTTGTTGACTGTTCTTTGTAGCAGCTTTGATGCTTTTCTTTTGGATGAATATATTTTACTTATCCAAAAAAATATAATCCTTAGGGTTTTGGACTCAACTATTAAATCAAATCCCTGATTCTTTTCTACTTAGAATATTTTGCACTACTTTTTCTCATTCTGTGTTTTCAAAGCCGATCGAATCTGGGATTTGAATTGATTTCTGTTTCATGAACCAATTCGATTTGATCGGGAAAAAGAAAAAGTAAAGTCCCGACAGGGTTTTTACTAGCAAGTCTTTCCAAGTTACAAACTCAGAAAACAGCGTGCAGTCTTCACCTGGAGCAGCCAAAACCGGTGTCGTCCCCTTGTTTCTTATCAACCAAACAAGAGAAGTAATGAGAGATATCTATATATGGCTTACGTCCTTCTTCATCCTCGTTTCCCTTATGATTCTCATTGTTTATCAGGTCAATTCGAGTTCGAGTAACGTAATTATGTGGCACATTAGTGATGTTAGCTGTTCATCTTTAGTAAATGGATTGTAACATGCTTGATGATTTCACTGCAGCTCATGTGTTTGGATGATTTAGAGTTCGATTCCATCAATCCTTTCGATTATTCGTCGCGAATGAAGATTTTGGTCCTCCTGGAATTCATAGGAGAAGGGATTTTGTGTTTGTTCTATCTAGTAACTGGGCATTGGGTCATGTTCATGTTATGTGCTCCCTATTCATACTTCAGCGTGAGACTGTAAGTTTCTCTCATCCTCTTAGACTCCTTATCATTAACTTAGTGTAGTCGATTTCGAGGAAAATCGTTGTTCTCGGTCGGATTTAAGCTCCGGTCATGTTGATCTATTCTGTTTAGTTCCAGGGGATTGCAGATGATGACATGATGTGACTGATTGGTTTGGGGCCATAGTTAATAACTTAATATCGTGTAGCATTTGAACTGTGCGACAATAAACATAATCATTCGTGTATGTTTCACCGGAATGTGAACCTCATTGTAGCTAATGGATAGCTTATTGTGTGACTCGTTGAGTTCGGTTCGGTTTCGCAGCCTGCTCTTAGGTTAGAGACAAACACTACTTGTAAAGGAAAATCGATTTTCGTGCGAGAGAAAAGAGTACAAGAGATGTGAGGAGAAGTTGAGATTGGATTGATTCAGGAATTGCATTCTTGTTAAGCATTAGCATTGGCTTCATTGCATGATTGTAGTTAACATTAGCACCATTCGAATTATATACGCTCATGGCCAATTTGCTGATTTTCTCTTCTTGTCAGCTACAAAACGGGAGCGCATCTCGTAGATGTCACCGAGGTATTTCACTTGCTTCGTAGGGAGAAAAACATACGTCTTTTGAAGCTCGCTTACCTCACTATTCTTCTCTTTCTCGATATATTCTGGTATGTTTCGTTTTTCGACAATGCAGAGCTTGCTTGCTCTACCTAAACATGTTCCTTCCCAGTTTAGCAGCTGCTGACTTGATAACTCTTATATGCATTCGTTAGGATGATATGTTCTACGATTGACGACGGCGACGATGAACGTTACGGAGACGACGACTTTCTTGACTAGATTTAAGAGATTCTGATCAACTAAATCACGTATGAAATGAAAAATAACTAGTTGATATCAATGTGGGATTCTGTCTCTTCGTAGGAAAGAAAAAAAAAACCCGGACTATAGTATACTTTGGCCCATAGAACTTCGATATGATTGGTACCGGGGGAGATGTAGATTAATTATGCTTTGCCTCACATGGTTAAATTTCAACTTAATGATGATTCTTAATTCGATGAGTGGTCTTAGTGGATAAATGAAGTATTATTTTCTTTTGAGATTTTGAGTTCGAGCAGTTGTATTTGTAGGACGTGTGAGTTGTCAATAATTAAGAAAGATTATGAACATATATTATTTTATAATTATCTCAGATTATTTTAAAACCCCTAATAATGATCCTTAAAATGATCATTTTTACAATATTTTAAAGATACCACGGACATATTTGTATGGAAATTATTTGATACATGGGTTTGGTGGAGGTATCTCGACTCTCTTGATTAGAGAGAAGACAATTCAAAGAAGTCCAGACAATGAGTGAATGTGTCTGAAGATATTAATTTTTTATCCATATTATTATTATTAATATTATTATTATTATTATTATTATTATTATTATTACTATTATTATTATTATTATTATTATTATCATTATTATTATTATTATTAAATATATATTAAACATATATATATAAATAATAATTACAGACCAATTACAACTGGACCGGCCCAGTTACAAACAAACCAGAACTGGTCCAAATCAAACCAGAAACCCTAAACATTTGGGTTTCCAGTTAGGGTTTCCTAACCCTAATCTAAACCAACCGCCTCAGCTTGCTGCCGTTGGATCTGGCAAGATCCAACGGTCCAGATGGCTCCAGAGAGAAACCCTAGGGTTTGATACCCTAGGGCCACGCGGCGCTGCCCCAGTTTCCACGCGGCTGCCGACACTTTCTCGCCGCCTCCGCCGCTGCCACGTCCCAAATGAAGACTCCAGAAGATCAACGCCAGCCGTCCATGCCATGGCTACGGGGTGAGTCACCACTGGTAGTCCGGTGACTCACCGAGACCCCATCTTCGGACTGGTCCGATGGCCACACCGGTGGTGGCTATAAAAGCCACCACCCCAACCTGAAAAAAAAAAGGAGACAGAGACAGAGAAGGAAGGAGGAAAGACAGAGAACACAGAGACAGAGAGAGACAAAACAGAAAAAAAATATATACATACTACCAACGATCTCAGCAGCAAAGCAACAAAAAAAAAGAAGGAAAAAGGAAGAAAAGAAACTTACCGAGGAAGCCTTGACCACCGGATCTCACCGGAACCTTCGAAACACCGAAGGTACTTTTGTAGATTCGCTCCGATTGGGAGCTTTTTAGGAGGAAATAACACCGGAACCGTCCTTAGGACGGTCCGATCTATCTATTAGTGTAAAAATATTTTTTTTCCAGCCACCGGATGCGGTGGCCGGCGGTGACAATCACGGCGGCACACGGTTGCCGTCCGGTGACCGGCTTCCCTCCGGTGAGGGAAGCTAGAGAGAGGCGAGAGAGTTTTAAAACTCTCTCAGTTTAGAGAGAGAGAGTGAAATGAGAAATGAGATAGCTGGCCCTTCGGGCCAGCCGGTTTTGGACTTTTATAGTCCTTCCCGAACGGCGTCGTTTTGGGAAGGACTATGCGCGTAATTAGAGAATAGTTAAACCCCGTCCGCAGTCCTCCCAACTTGTAAATTTTACATTTTAGTCACTAAATTGAATTTATAATAATTTTAATTTAATCTCGAAATTTTATTTTTATTCATTTTAGTCTTTATTATTAAAATAATATATTTAGGATAAATAACAGATTTAACCCCTTAATTTTAATAAATAATATTTTAATCATTAATTTATATTTTTAATTTATTTTATTCTAATATCCGAATTTTAGATAATTTTGTTTTAGTCACTAAATAAATAAAAATAAAGAAATAACATATTTAATCCCTATAATTTTGATTAATTATGAATTAGATTTTTAATTTTATTTTTATTGTAATTTAGTCAGTTATTTTATATGTTTTCATTTATTTTATTGTTTTTAAATATATTGTTTTAGTAGTATTTTATTTTTATTTATTTATATTGTTAAATATTTTTATAAATATATATATAATAAATAGTAATTTTTAAATATTTATTTTTAATATCGAAGAAAAGGACAGTCTTAATATAACTGGATGTCCTATTCTGATATTTTAAAAATAAAAAGTAAACAATATTATTTAAATTAATATTTATCAATATCAAAGAAAAGAGCTGTCTTAAGGCACCTAGAAGTTCTTTTCTGATATTTTTAAATAAATAAATATTTTTTTTAATTTTGAAATAATAGGATTATAAATTAAATATATTTTTGAATTTTTAAAATTTTAATAATAGAGACAATTTATAATTAAAAAGTACCAATTTTGGGCGTTGTAGGGGTGCTAATCCTTCCCTAAACGTAACCGACCACGAATCCCTTTTTATTATTAAAAAGAACGAATTTTTGGTTATAAAACGCAGATCAGTTCATCTTTTAAATAATGTTTTCTTAAAAACTCTTTTAAAAGATAATTTTTAGGTATTCGACCTACCTGACCCAAAAGGCCGATGGCGACTCCCAAATTATTTTCAAAACCATTTATTCACATCAATTTCCCCGCCAAATAAAAATTCGTGTCCGGACGAAAACCGGTTACGACAGCTTGGCGACTCCGCTGGGGATAGGTCAAACTTTTAAAAATCAATTATAAATTGTCTCTATTAATTAAAAATTAAAAATTCATATATTTAATTTTTAATTCTTTCTTTTCGAATTTTTTATTTATTATTTATTTTTTATATAATATTTATATGTTTTGCAAGTATTTTATTTCATTATTTATTTTTCTGTCAAAGGTTTGAATATTTCTCCTCACACACAACACTTGCATTGCATAACATAAAGCTCTAAAATTGAGTTGTCCCTTTTAAGTGGGAGTGAAAGCGACGTCTTCGTGAGAATTTATTCTCCGTGTCAGACCTAGCAAGTAACTTCTGGGGTTCATATGCTCTCTGTCTTCGTGAGAATTTATTCTCCGTGTCAGGCATAGAGAAATGTATCCCCTCGAATTGAACTCGATCCACTTTAGTCTGTGATGGACTAGGATTGAGGGTTAGCAACCCAAGGGGGCACTAACAAGGACAATTCGGGTACCTTTACTCTTAGATCTGAAACCCTGCATATAGAAAACCCTAGAAACTCTTCCGATCCTAAGTCATGCCGAAATTTTGTCTAAAATAGGTGTACACACAATAGAAATGTATTCTAACTTTCTAGTTTATTTATTTTCTTTAAATTACATGTATATTTAAATTATTTAAATTTAGAAAAGCATGTTTAAATAAAAAATTATTTATGTAAATGTTAAATTTCTTTATTATGTAAACTAATTTATTTTCTTTTTGTGTGTTCTTTATTTTTCTGTTTGCATAGCATCATACAGGATAAAAGGCATTGATCCTTGTGTTAATTGTCTCATTGGAAAGCCTTCATCCATGGATAAAAAGGGTTCAAATCAAGTAATTCTAAACTCAGAAGTAAGACAATGGGCTGAAGACTTACAAAGACAAGAAGGAGACAGTTTGCAGGATGATTATGTATCTGACTTGGCCAGTTATGCTCCAGTTTCACTAAAAAGAAATGATTTGCAAGATTTGCGAAGCATTTGGGAAAGTTGGGATTCAAACAAAAAATTGCAGTTTTATCAGACTTACGGAGATATCCCATATTTGCTCTATGTTGAAATTGATGATGAATTACTCAGAGCCCTAGTTCAATTCTGGAATCCAGGGTACAATTGCTTCACTTTCAATAAGGAGGATTTGGTCCCTACTATTGAAGAATATACAACTTTGTTACATCTTGAAGGTGCTTTGGAGAATCGAATATATTCAAAGTCAATTAAAACTCAACCCTTTCGAGTTAAATTAGCAAAGATTGTCGGGGTACGAGAAGAATGGGTAGCATCCCGTACAAAACAAAAAGGCGAAAGCGAAGGCATTGCTTGGACCAACATCAGAGAACTTATTCAGAACCATCCAGATATTAAAGTACGATTCGATCTATTTGCTCTGGGTATATATGGTATGGTCATCTTCCCAAAAGTATTGGGATATGTTGAAGCTGCAGTGATAGATTTGTTTGAACAGCTACCGAAAAAGATTAATCCTGCTTCTGCAATCCTAGCAGAGACCTTCAGATCGTTAAATGCTTGTAGAAAGCTAGGAGGTGGACGATTCTTAGGGTGTATCCAGTTGTTATATGTTTGGATCCGTAGTCATTTCTGGAGGACAGAAAAAGTTTCATACCGACGCTTTAATACGGATTACTCACCATTAAAAGAATTTCTAGAGCAGGAATGGCCGAAAGAAATTAAGAAAGATATGTGGATTAATGCCTTTCGAAATCTGCAAAGCAATGACATTGTTTGGCGATCCCCTTGGCAAATCCAAAGGGAATTCTTTTACAAATGTGGAGATTACAACTGGATAATGCTGCTCGGATTATGGGGAGGAATTGGATATGCACCACTTCTGGTTATAAGACAGTATGAAGGTCGTCAATTTGTACCTGTCACTGCTGGATTACAGTCATCTGAGTTCGCATTCCACAGCAAAAATTATAAAAGAAACATCATGGAAGCCGTTACAGCTTGGAAAACAACTTTTTGTATCCGAGCTAAAGCAGCAAAGGAAATGTTAACTCCTGATTATGAAGAATGGAGATCTGTCAGAAAAAACGAAAATATTCCTCTACCAGATCAAAATGAGGATATTTCTATGGAAGATTGCATTAAGGTGGTTCCATCAGAGATTGAAATCCTGAGAGCTGAGTTTGAAGCAGAAAGAGAAGGCTGGTCGAAAGAATTAGAGCAAATGAGACAAGATAAAGCTATGTTGGGGGTTGATATTGACTTTCCTTCATCACAATGTGTAATGTTGAGAAAAGA